TCTATATCAAAATACCTTTGGTTCCCATTGGTGAGATTCTCACACGACGTATGTCTGATAGTACGGCAAGCGGCACTCACCATATTCTACCCCCAACGAAGCTTGTACACCCTCACCAAAACACAGCACTCTCGGCATCCCTTTCGCCTTTTAGCGCGACCTCCCTCTCACAGTCGGTCGGTGATTCCCGGAAAACGACTCCGATGATTCAAGTGCGCGCGACTGGAAGCGAAAAGTCATCAAAACGGGTATCGCCATCTCCCACACATCAACGCCCAAAACACAACTACACACACCCACGAGCAGCGTTGCCAGAACAACCGATAGAACGGATTTTCTACCGATGCGTTTGAAGCCCCGCATAACGCAAATAACATAATTAATTATTTTCAAAGCTGCTAGTTCTCACAGAGGGCAACGAACGCCCTCCGTGCTAGAGAACGAGGGTAGAGAAGCAGTTTTTCCGGTACGGGAAAATCGTTGATTTATGAGATTCTCACCAACTTGTATCTGCAAAACGCAACAATTATCCGCTTTTGCCAGTATGTACATAAATGATAGGGATAAATGCCGTAGTTTTTGTGTAATCGAGCAAAAACAGAAACAAAATCATACATTCTCAGATTTAAAACTATCAAGCCCATACATGTCAGGGTGGGTGGCCTCCTACATGTGACTACCGGCAGAAGCGGCTACCATCGGTTAATTATTGAAGAAATACCGATTTTCTATTTTTCATACCGATAATTGGCGTCTTGCAGTGAAACTTTTCCAAGCTTTCGCCACCTACATTTCGAAGTGAGAACTACTAGAAGGAGGATAGTTTCCAAATTTTTCAAGTAAAACAGACGCTTGTTGGGGCAAATCGGTCCATAAAGAAAAACTAATAATTTCCCGTGGAAGGTTTTGCTTGAATCGTGTAAGAAAACGTGTTTGAAAACTATTTGTTATTATTTCGGTATGGATCGGAGATGTTTTCATGGCAAACTATGCATAACAAGTTTGCACCCACAGAGAGAGGTTACCTCCTGCGCAGCTGTATTTTTCAGAAAATGGCAAATATGTGCGGTTTTCACTAAGATGAAAGTGGAAATTAAATGAATTTACTTAGGAAAGGTTGTATCATGCTGGTGGTAATAGAGAATTGGTTGTATAGGACGCCAATATTCAATAAATGTTTGATTTTGGCCTTTTTTAAGCAAACATATTTATACTCACAATTTTCGACGGAAAACGCACCGGAACTTGATTTACTCAACACGCACCATACTATAAAATGGTGCTAGATGGTTTTCAAAGTGATAACAAGATGACAAATCATCTTTATTTTGAGTAATTGATGGAGCCGCGAAATGAAATGAATATATCTTATGAAAGTTCATCTGGAAATGTCGAAGATGCACATCAGTCTTATCGTAATAACGTTTTCTTCTTCAATTCGAATGTTATATTGGAAGGATTTTACACAGGCTTGATGAAAATTATGATTTAACGCTAATTTTCACGAATTTTATATGCAGTCTGTCAATATTATCATCATCATGCAGTGGCGCCATCTGCGTTGAGCTTTTACGGCAATCTCCCAGGCGTCTTGCAGTGAAACTTTTCCAAGCTTTCGCTTCCTACATTTCGAAGTGAGAACTACTAGAAGGAGGATAGTTTCCAAATTTTCCAAGTAAAACGACGATTTTTGGGGCAAATCGGTTCATAAAGAAAAACTAATAATTTCCCGTGGAAACTTTTGCTTGAATCGTGTAAGAAAACGTGTTTGCAAACTAACTGTTATTGTTTCGGTATGGATCGGAGAGGTTTTCATGGAAAATAATGCATAACAAGTTTGCACCCACAGCGAGAGGTTACCTCTATGGTAGTAGCAGGTAGTAGCAGGTAAATTACTGATTACCAATTGGGTTCTTTAAGGGTATTGAGGTAAATGCATATTCGGAATCTGCATTAAAATTGAAACCTAAACCCAAAATTTATTCAATTTTGGTACACTGGAACGATTTTAAATAAGTTTGATTTCATTTGGAAAAATCACCTTATCAGTGCCCCTCAGTGTCACTTTATATGCGAGCGAGCTGTCAGTTAGTTAGTTTAGTGTCAAACAGTGAAGCTATTTTTGTGCTTTCAATCTTGGTTTAAAAATCAAGATGAAAGTGTGTGGGTTAGAAAAAAAGTTGGAAGGGTTGTATACTAGATACGACCGCAGGGTTGGCGTTGGATAACGTCTGTTATGTGTTGTACTTAATTGTGTATATTATATTTTAGGAATATTCGTTAATAAGTCTTTTGCGAAAGTTTGGTGGCCCTGAAAAGGGCCGTTTTGTTGGGCTGATGTTGTTGACAATGATGGAACGGGCGACCTTGTTGGACGCTTATATAGTAGAACAGAAAATATCAGAGGTGTCAGATACTCGCATCTGATGTCTCGGTTGGAGAAAGTATAAGAATATAAAAAAATCAATCGATTTTCACCATCTTTAGACAATGGTTTACTTTTAACCATTTTTCAATAGTTTACAGAATGAAATCAATAGTTTTGAAACAATTGCTAGAAATATTTCCAATCGATTGATGCCATTATCTCGTAAATCTATCGAGAGACGGTTGAGTTATTATCACAGACATAACACATTTGAATATTTCTCACTGTAAAACATCATCGCTAAAACATTACCGCCATCTGTTGAGTACACTGTGGTGGGCACTACACTGAACAGATGGCGGTAGTGTGTAAACGTCAAACGTAAGGGAATTGACTATGCGCGCCACAGGTGGCGGTACTACCAACTACGATACTTTTAAATTGTCCGTTAAATGCTTGTTCGATGAACAACTTTCGAGTGTTATGTCTGTTTGTCTGTGTTATTATCGTTCAAAATCTTTTAATTTTTCGTAACGCATCCAAAATGACTGTTTTCAATTTTGTACCCCCGTATGTTGCCGAAAGACGTTATCCAACGTCAAAATATCGCTGTGCTCAGAAAACGAAGCTCTTTCAGATGATTTATAAAAACCTAGGGGCAGTTCACTTGAGGTGCATTTATTATAACAAAAAAATTAAATGCATTTTCTCAGTGCACTTTTGGCTGCGTGTAGTTGTAAGTGGCACCTCACACTAATATATAAAGTTTTGTCCTGTTTTGTTGTTCGCTTCGGTTCGCTCAAATCCACACTCTTGACTTGAGAAAATTATTCCGCAGAAAAAATCCGTTGAAATTTCCGGTGGCAGCATTAAAAATCTCCACCGGAATCGTGCAGAGCCGCCTCCACCGAAAACGCGAGAAAACTCCGTCGAAGCTCACTGGAACCTCCTTTGGTAGCACCGAAATCTCTCGGAATGCTGGATGCTGTAGATGGAAGCTCCAGGCATTTTCTCACGTTATCGATGGACGAAGTTCTGCGTGATTTCGATGATTTTGGATGCTGCCAGCGGGAGTTCCTAGAAGTTTCAACGGACAATTTGTCTTCTCGGCGAATTAAATTCTGCATGATTTCGAAGACGATGCTAGCAGCTGCCAACGAAGGTTCTAAGAACTTTGTCTTGTTCTGATAAAGGGTTCATCCACCAGGATTACGTTTGACTTGGTTTGACTAAATAAAATACATTGGGGCTACATTGAGTCTGTTGATGTTGACAAATAAATATATAACAATTGCATAAAATTGCGATCAAGGCGGACGAGGTTCTATACGATTTCGGTGGCGATTTATGATGCTGCCAGCGGAGGTTCCAGGGAATTTTAACGGAGTTTTCTCACGTTCTCTACGTTCCAGTTTCGACGGCGGAGATTCCAGTTTTCTCGCATTCATGGTGGTGATTTTCGGTGCTGCCAACGGAAGTTTCAGGAAATCTGTACGGTGTTTTCTCGTGTTTTAGGTGGAGGAGCTTCCGCATGATTCCGGTGGAGATTTCCGATGCTGCCAATGGAGGTTCTACGCAATTTCGACGGAGTTGTCTCGCGTTCTCGGTGGAGCAGATTTTGCGTGATTTTGATGTTGGCAGGGGAAATTCCGGAGGGAGCTTTTGCACGATTCTGTTTGTTTATCTTCGCCTCGATGCATGTGTGTATTTATAAGTAACACCGAAAAAGCACACACTTTGTTTTGATGTTCACACCCCACTGAATGGTTGATGCCGTTGATGCAAACGATGGAAATTAAATGCATTTTGTTTTAAATTAAATGCTTATTCAATGGGCATTCTAAAAGTGAGACTCCCCTAGATAAAAACCGATACATTTTTCAAAATTAAAGAACCCAATTCATGAATTTGGAATGGTAATGGCTTTAAACATCCCATTATTTGTAAGGTCCACTTCCAAAAAATCATAATAAATAAGGTTAAAACTTTATCACACAAACGTTCATGTAAAGTTCCATAACCATTTCAGTTAAAGTTAAGGAGGGATTATAAACAATTTATAACCATTATCGGTACGCGTTTATGCGGGTAACTACCGTACACACTAATAGCGAATTCGTTTATTATTCAGTTCCAACCTGGATCGGGTATCAAGATTGGGTCTGCTTGTTTTCTGACAAACGTCAGTTTGTTCGTTTGTTTTTAAAACCTAGCTCAGGTTGAGGTTCACACTGACAAAAAGTTCGGTTTCGCACTGGGTTGGAACTGGTTCCAACCCCGATAATAAACGAATTCGCTATAAGATTTTTTTACAGAACATTGTAATTTTTTACCGAATATGGAACAGCTGAACATTCGGTAATCGATTCGGTAATTTTTATGTTTTACAGTACATTCAGTAAATTTATATTCAGCTGAGCTGTCAAAATTTAACGATACCGCTCTGTAAATTTTTACCGAAAATGCTGTAAAATGTTTACCGGTCGATCTAAAATTTGTGACTTCTGTGACCGGCAATGCCGATATTTGAACAATAGTTCTGGCAACTCTGTCCACGAGGAGCGACACCATACGAACGAACCGTCAAAAGTCACTCACGTTGTTTGGCCCAGCACTTTTTTTCATCATCCAGCTCGGGTCGCATTTTGTACGTCGTCTTTCGGTCGCGGTGCGGTGCGGTTCTTATTTTTTTTCGGAATTTTTGCCTGGTGAAAAATAAAATCACCTGCCACAGTGAGTGCGGGGGGAAAAGTGCGGCTTTTCCCGAATTGCCAAGTGCGTGAAAATTACGTCGCGAATAGTACGTGTGCTGTTTTGGGGTTGGAAAAGTGTGCAAGCTAGGCGCTGCAGTGTGAAAAATAATCGAGTGACCTCCGCCCTCCCTCAACGTCTCCGTCGTCGTCGTCGACGTCGGTTGTCCTGCTTGGGGTTGGGTTGCAGCGATTAGGGAAGAAGCAAAGGCAAAACGTGAAGTGTGGTGCACGGTGTGTACGTGTGTGTGGTTGGTGTCCCTGAAATCCTCGCACCGCTGGTAGATGCAGAGTGGTACCACTCGGATCAGCGAGGATCCGGAGAAAATCTATATTGTAGGAAGTGTGGTTGCGGGATATTTGTACGGGAAGCAGCCGAAGCCGGTTCCGAGCAACCAGGAAACAGTGTTGATTCCAGAAGCACCGGAGCCCTTGCCACCCAGATTGCCTCCTTCCTGAAATGTAAGTCCCGTTTCTTATTACGCTTTCGGTGTTGTTCTTGTTTGTCGGGTTTTCGTTGGGTTTGGTTGGATTCGCTCCTCGTCGTGCAGTGTGTCACACACAGCGATAGATGGCACAAGCAGTCAGATACATTCATCATAGAGCAATGTAGCGAGTTGAGTGAGTGTCGTTGTGGTGATTGAAACTTGAATGAATGACTAACTTTTGACTGTGTATGCGGTCCGTCGTCCAGAGAATGGAATAGGGATGTTTACCCAAAACACAACACACAAGCCGAGAAGGGGAAGGTTTTATCGTTTTGTTTTATTGCACTAATTCGATCCCTGCTGGAAGCTGGAAAGTTCTCTCAAAGAATAAGAACCGATGCACACCAGCAACCGTGTCGAAAAAGTCGTGTCATTCTACAAAAAATGATGACGATCCGGTGCAATGGTATTCGTAGTAAAATTGCTGTTTATTTCCATTGATTAAGATGTTACATTTAGTGTTACCAAGTGATGTAGCCTGAGGGCTCAACATATTTGGATTTGCATTTACATTATTTTCGTTTGGGAACTAATTGACATTGTTCCCTATTGAGAACAGGCAGCTCTGTTCGATTCCCGGTCCGGTCTAGGATTTTTTCGGGTAGGGTATGATTGTATTTGGCACACAATAATACTTATCTAAAAATGGTACAGGCTTAGAAAGCTGCTCTCAATGAATAACTGTGGAAGTGCTCCAAGAACACTATCGAGAGCTGGCGGAAAGTCTCCAGAGGTTGTTCTTACATAACATGGCTGCAGCAGGACCTCGGGACACCACGTCAGCAGGATTGTGTTTTGAGTTCACGTTTATCGCTGCCACGCAGTTTCGGACGAAAGTTTCCATAGTTCCGAGTGGTTTCATCAACCAAGCCAATGTAATCTGACTATCAGACCACAACGAGACCTCCGTGTAATCGATTTCCATAACTTCAATCACCTTTGCCATGAGCCGAGCTAAAAGTAAAGCAGCAAGCAGCTCCAGTCTTAGGATTGGAGCCGCCTTCAACGGTGCCACTCTTGACTTGGCACACATACGCTACTATCGAAGCATCCGCGAACCCGTGAATCTCGTACCGAATGGCACCAGAAATCTTAAAACATCGTGGAACTTGACTCAGATTCAGCGTTGTCAACGAATCTCGAAAATGTACCCACTCTACTAGAATGTCCTCCTCCAGTTCATCATCCCAGTTCTACTTGGAGGACCGGAGTTTTTGCACTACAATCTTGGCACGAACTATCACCGGTGAGCAGGCTTGCTAAAACTCCTACTGGAGGTTTTAAAACACTCTTGTCCGGCGAGTTTAGTCAGCCCTCACCTCGAGTGAGTGGCGGCAGGAATATGGAAGAAGTAAACAAAAACTCCTCGAGAGAGAGAGGGAGAGTGAACTTCAGCGAGAGGATGATTTGACGAGAGGTGCGCTTTTCGACACTCCGGATGACTTTTTTGTTCGACACAAGAAGCTCAGATTTCACCCAGAGTGAGAGTAAGAGCGTGTGATAGAAAACATGAACATGAATGGCAGCAAATCTCACTCTCATTTTATCCCCCCTTGGCTCACAAGCTCTGAAGCTCAGTGGAATGATTTGGCAGTAGGCATTCTACTCCTCAGAAAAATGCTACGCTCGGCTCATTTCAAACTCGCGAGCGAGACTCCATCAAGCCTGCCGGTGAGACGAGCCCCAACGGATCATACAATGCCGCTTCGTAAACGATCGGTTCGTGACCCCTTCTGGACAATTTTCGTACGTGAACTGATCATTCTTCGTATCCCAAAGCATTCCCAGTGCCTCGATTCCTTCATTCATACCATTTTCACCTATCTTCACTAATTTTCTCGTTCTTCTCCAGGAACACTTTCAAGCACTACCGTTGCATTCGCATCCACTTGCGGACAGCAACTGTTTCACTTCCAACGAGCGTTGAGCAGCTTCTTCTTCTGTGTCTGCTCCAGATAGTATAGCATCCACGTACATATATTCTTTCGCCATCTTCGACGCAACTGCGCGTATCGACGTTGTTCTTCAACTGCTAACTGCACCATGCTTCTGGTTGCAAGAAATGGTGCAGCAGCCGTTCCGTGGGTCACTGTAATCAATTCCAATCGGGTGTGGATTCTATGGACACCGACTTGCCCGTACATTTTGGTTACGTCGCCGGAAACAAAGATCCACGGAAAATATATCGTTCTGGATGGTTGGTCCAGTTTTCATCACATCGTTCAGGGAGTACTTTGAATACCACCCTTAATTTGGTTGAAGAACTCGCCAGTTTAAACACCGCATGGTGCGGTGTGTAGTATCGTGGTAGTCCAGATACGTCGTCTTCTACTCTGATCTCATTACAGTGCCCAAGGGATTCGTATTCTCGCATGAACTCACAATACTGACTTCTCAGTTCCGCTCGAGTGCGTAGAAACGCTTCAACGCTCGACTTCTGTTGTCATCAAGTTCTGCGACAGTTTCCCGAAACGGCACCTGGACCACGAAGCGACCAGATTCGTCCCGGCGATAGGTTTCCAGGAAATGATGCTCAACATCTTGCTCTTCAGTGTTGAAAGGCGAAGATTCAGTCACTTCCTCAATTTCTCAGCTAGTGGATCTAGCAAAGCAACATTTGCGATCAAAATAGAGCCACTCACCTGTTGGTACGGATCATATGTGCCAGTGATGATCCAACCTAGATCGGTTTCTCGTAAAGACGTTGTACCATTGGACAGGACCACCTTCTTGGTTCGAAGCAAATCCCAGACGTTATTAGAAGCAAGCACCAAATCGATTTCGTGTGGCTTTAAAAACTCTGGATCCGCTAGTTGCAACTCTTGCGGTAGGTTCCACGGCGATACATCAATTTCAGGATCGGCAAACCGAGAATTTGCGCCATCGATTCGGACTAGATATGTGCCTGTAAACCCGAGTCCAACAGGGCACGACAAGGATGAAGACGGCCGTGTACATCCTCCACATCGATAACTGCTGTCTGAAGCAGTACCTGTTTGGTCGATTGTGGCAATCCGCCACTGAGACATGACGTTGTTACCGAAACACTATTTCCACCTTCCTGTGGATCTGGATCGATCCTACACTTCCAACACGTTCTCTGGGACGAACATGATCTGCCCATATGGCCCTTACGTAACCAATCGTTGCGGAACGCTCATGCTGCGAAATGTGCTGCATTTGAAATTCGGATGGTCTCCACCTGTGCGCTCACAGCCGAGCTCGCTAGACGTTGTGACTGCAGCAGAAATGTTCGATGCATTGCTTGGTGGTGCCTTGGTAGCTGCTTGCTTGATAAAAGGCACCGATGGTGCAGTCGAGTCGCAGTGGTTTTCAGCTTAGTTTTTCCTGTCATCCTTCCCTGCAAAAGAGCACTCAATTTTCAACACAAACATGTGACTCGCCTCCATCAACTAAATGTTGCCATGAGTCAACCCTATTCTGAAACCGTATGTCATCAATACCATCGAACCGACAGAAGAGTACCTGTTTGTCGTCTGTCGTCGTCTTCATCGCCCTGAAACTCACTCACACCACCCATTTCGTGCCGTATTTTGATATGGATTGACATTTCAACCGAGTGTCGGACCCGTCCAGCAAAGAGTGACTTTTTTAAACGTACGATCGAACACATGCGCGCCTACTAGGTATGTCTTCTTCTTGGCTGGTTCAACAACAACAGAGATCCATAGCCAACTTGGATGCTCTCACGTATCATAAGAGCACAGGCAAACAAGGTAAAACTAATAATTTTGTTTTGATTTTCGTTTCCCATTCAGACGGCTAATTCGGGTGCGTTCCCGCTGCTGCTACTGAGGCTGCGTGTGCGGGGGTGTTTGTTTACATTTGGCACCAATGCGCTCTTCTGGTTCTGATTATGATTCCCCTTTGCTATTTACCGTCTTGGTCGTCTATTGTTTACTTGTTCGAAAATCTTCCATTCGGATCGATTTCCTATATTCATGGGGCTGCCTCCCGTCCATACTCCCGCCGCGAGGCGTTCGTTTAGCTGAGATCATGCAATCGAAAATAAATACACGGATGCATGTTGTGTGGATTGTCAGTGGTACATTTCGTTGGTGGACGCGCGAGAGGTGCCTCGTATCCGGCGCCCACCTTCAGAGAAAGAGATAAACCGTGCTCGCAGTGTTGTCAGTTTGACTTTTGTGATTGCAGTCAATGCGAATGTTGGGCGATTGGCGACTACTTGGATGATGGTTAAGTTTGAGGACCTGGTTCGAAGTAAACATAAACAATTGATAAGAGTTTTTTGATGGCTGTGTCGAACCGTTTGCGAACTGATCATAATCAGACTTATTTTCTATGGAAATTAAATAGAAAGTCGCAGTAGGATGGAATGTTTTAGGTTTTGCAGGAACAATCGAGAGTTTGGATTTCCCCTCGGATTACTTAAACTCTTTATCGAGATTCCCAATACGGCAAGAACTGTCCAAAAACAGAAAAACTGAATCCAGATGTTAATCAAAATGAATTTTTCTCCTTCAGTTGAGCGTTTTATTTGATTTTGATTTGAATGGCACAGTTTTAAAAAAATCATGAATCATAAGGCCTTTCTTACGAGATATCAACCATATTGAGCGGATTAGTCATCTAGGAGAATACATCAATCACCAAATTTCGTCTTGATTTTTTTTATTTAGTTCGTTTATTAGGAAGACTCAAGCGCGTTACTGAAGAAATACGGATCGGAAAAATCGACACAGCCATACGCGACGAAATAAGGACTACGATTGGAAACTCGGAACATGGAACTGCAAATCGCTCGGCTTCCCGGACTGCGGTAGGTTAATATATGACGAACTTCAACCACACAACTTCGAAGTCCTAGCACTGCAGGAACTTTGCTGGACTGGTCAAAAGGTATGGAAAAGTGGGTATCGAGCGGCTACTTTCTACCAGAGCTGTGGCATCACCAAAAAGCTGGAAACCGGCTTTGTAGTGCTGGGTAAGATG